TAAAAAACATCCCGCATCACTTTCTTCACAAATTAAAAATTTACTATAATAATGCGTTGACGACAGTGATGGCACATACGTCCAACACTTTCCATGACGGTCGGCGCGGGACGTATGTATCCTGCACCCATTACATTAATTTCCTCCTCGTACGCGCGATTCATTTTTAAGTTTCGTATCCATTCAATGGAAGAAACTAGCCATAGCTACAAGCATTGCTGCCCACAAAACGATCACGCGTGCATCAATTTAGGGGAAGATTTTCGAATCCTACAAAATTTTCAATTCAATTTTTGTTTCATTCTCCTCTTATGAGTCTGGAGATAAAAAATAATAGTAGAAGTAAATACTTAACCTGAGGGATGGCAAGTACACTGCGTTCAATAATGATACAGCCACCTAAAATTTGTTCGAAAACTTAAAGTTCATAGAGTTTCTGAAAAACTGTCCAGATAGAAAATGTGACAAATTTCATGGCGAGTTCAGATATCAACACAAAAATCCATGAAAACACTAAAAAATTTTGTGCTATTTTTTCAGAAGAGGTCGATTTTCCTATGTTCAAAAATGATACAGCCACCCCGTGTTTCTTCGTTGAAATTCATTTTTGCTTCATGAAACTGATTCGCAGTTATCAGGCTTTCACCTTAATGTTCCCACAAGATAAAAAAGACAGTTTGGTTTTGAAAAAAGGTAAACTGTAGCAAAAAAGGACCAGGAATCGTCAAGCAGTCATATTGCGCAAAAATTGAGTCAAAGCTCCAATACGGTTAACAATCTTTTCTGGAATCCTGTAGGTTATGGAACAACGAAGAGCTCTGGATGTTCATCATTGCTTTTTGGTCAAGTTAAACTTCGCATTTTGGGGAAACATTTCAATTTCATCGAACAGTGCCCGGAATTCCAGTCTTCTTTCAAATTTCTTTCAATGGATATTGTTTGGGATGTGTTGAAGATTTTCCGAGGTCATTCTTCAATGGAGAATTAAAGAAACCTTGTTTGTGAGAAGAAATTCTCTCAAAACTGAGACATTTTTTTGGATCGAAAGTGTAGCCACGTCCACTGGAGCAACATCAGTTCTCTTTGCCCGTTATGCTTGCTTTCTGTCTGCGTTTCTCTCAATGTTTCTCGCTTCATAAAAGTCTATGAAAGGAAAAAACTATGAGGAAAGGAACCTTTGAGGAAAGTATTACATCAGAAAAGTAGACACAACAGACAAGAACTGGTTTCACCCACAATAGATCACTGAAAGTTTAAGTTTCTGAAGAAGGGCTGGATTCGGACTGTTCGATGAGTTGTTTTCCCAATCATTGCGATTATTTATCCAAAAAGCAATGATTGAACATTTTTATTTGCTTTTCGTGGTTGCTACATACTTTAACAGATTCCGAAAAAGTTGTATCTGTTGTTGGAGCTTTAATCAATTTTTTGTTGGGCATTGTTTGGCGATTGTTCTGCTCCTTTTGTTTACTATGTGATTTCCTTTTTTGATCCAAACGAACGTTATGTTGTGAACATTAAGGTAAAAGCAGCTTGGAACCTTGTGATGATTTTCATTAAGCAAAAATGAATTTCAACGAAGAAACACGGGGTGGCTGTATCATTTCTGAACATAGGAAAATCGACCTTTTCTGAAAAAATAAGCACAAAACTTTTTGGTGTTTTCGACATGGGTTTCTGTGCTGATAACTGGACTCGGCGTTTATGTGATGTTTTGTTGTTTTCAGAAAGTGCTAGGAAGTGTAAGGATTTTCGAATCTTTTTAGGTTGTATTCATTTAATTGAACCCTGGGTGATTGTATTTTTACAGTGAGTTTGAGTTTTTGGACTAATGCAGTTACGTCTGAATTTTATTTGGGCTTCTATTATTTAATTTCGTCTTTATCTAATTTCATGTTACCCTGAGTAAATTCACTACGTTTGTAACTTACGGACTATTTGGTATAAATATGACATCTACCTCAGAATTCGCTTGATGAATCCTGTGAGGCTGGAGGGCTGTCCCAAAAGGGCGTTTTGAGTCAGCGCTAATTCGGGCGCGCATGGAAGTACATTTGCAAAAAGGAGACTGAATTTTATGTATTGCTAGTCAAGGTGAGGCGATCGATTATTGAGCACTTCCCGGAATAAGTCGTTTGCAACACGTCTGAGATACTGTGAGTGTCTGGGTTCCGTGATTACTAATGTTCATTATACCAAGTCTTTTGATAAGAATTTTTGTGTGGCCCATAGCCGTCGATGAGGACCTTTCCTCTTCACACTCATTCCTTTCACTACACACTTTCATATTGGGAGTGGATCGTTGGTTTGTGTTTCCTTTGCATGGATTAAACCTTTTCAGACGAAAGTTATTGTTGAGTAACTCACGTGACTTATTAATCCTTTGTTCGCTACAACAGTCATTACCGGTAAGGTCAGCAGAATTTATAGTGAGAAATGTGATTCAAATGCAATTAGTTTTTTTTTATTTATTTATTTATTTATTTATTACGTTTGCATAAGGCAATCGTGAGAAAGACATACAGTTAGAATTGTAAAAATAGAACTACACCTCAGTATTTAACACATGTGACACGAAACAAAGCATATTAGCATCACGATCCACACCAGAACTATATGGCCAATGAGTACCCACCTAGGTTGCAATACTCAAATACTCAACTGCATAATTGGCGAGAATTGTTTGATTGGCGCCAACTGTCGTATTGAGGAGTCAGTGTTGGGTGACGAAGTTTCGATAGCCGATGGCACCCATGTGCAGAAGCAGTCTGTGATTTCGGCAAAGGTTTCTTTGAACGACTTGGAAATTGTTGGCGTAATGCACTGCGTGCGGCAACTTACTTAATCCTTTTTCAGGTCACATATCCTCACGATCTTGGAGTGGCATCAAATGTTGCCATCTGTTCAGGCACTCCTCATGAAGACTTTGAAGAGGCAATTCATTGTGAGGAAGTGAAAGGTATTCAAGTGTTCTCACTTGTTTTTCACGGGATCGCTTTTCTGATGTGCTGACGCCACTTTTCCCGATTAAATGCTTGGTCGGGGTGGATGTTAACCGAACTTCAAGTCTGCGTGCAACGTATCGAGCCAGCGCTGTTTCGGGCGCCCCTTGGGCCGCTTTCCGTGCACGTCTATGTTGAGGCCGATCTTGCGAACACTGTCATCATTTCCGCGAAGAACGTGGCCATCGAAGCCGAGCTTCGCGCATTTTATCAGCAATGGGAGCTACACCAAAGCGTTCTCGTATGACATCGTTCGAATGCGATCTAATCGCGTGACACCAGCCGTCCAGCGCAGCATCTTCGTCTCCATTACACCGAGGCGAGCTTCAGTGTCCCTGGTCGCTGGCCAGCACTCAGCGCCGTACAATGCCACTGGTCTTATGACTGTCCTATAGATCTTCGATTTGAGGCGTTCTGGGATTTTCTTGTCACAGAGAACTCCCGTCATAGAACGCCACTTGGACCAAGCCGCACTCACACGTGAGTTCACCTCAGTACTCATACTGCCATCGGACGCAATTCCAAGTACTTGAATGTCGTTGTACGTGTTAGCTCTGTGTCCATTTATTTTGATAGAACCGCACTCGCTCGTGTCGGTTGTCAGGTACTCAGGTCTTTTTCTAACGTTCAACCTGAGTCCGAACATCGCTAGGCGATCGCACCAAGCTTGCGCTTGTTGCTCGAGTACGTTTTTGTCTTCGCAGGCGAGGACAAAAACGTCACGTCATCAGCATAGAGAAGCGTCCATGGAGCTGGTTTCTGAAGATCTCGTGAGATGGCATCCATGACGACAACAAAAAGAAGTGGGGAGAAGCGCAGAGCCCTTATGTACCCCAACAGAGATGGGAATTCCGTCGAACGCCAGCTGACGTTTGCACTCGGCTCTTTGGGCTTGAGTAAGCATGCGAACCCACTCAATAAGCTCTTCGGGACGCCATGTTGTCGTAAGGCATACCATATAACGTCACGTGGAACGCGATCGAAAGCCTTCTCCAAGTCTAGGAAAGGCAAAATGCACCGGCTTTTGTTTTTCGCGATGTTTTTCTAGCAGAAGGCGAGCGGCGTGTATGGCATCGATGGTGCTGCAGCCAGCCACGAAGCCACACTGGTTGGTGGTAAGCTGGACGATGTCACGAATACGGCGATCTACAATTCGCTCAATATCCTTCATGCTGTGGGAGAGCAGACGAATTGGACGGTAGCTCGTGCAGTCTGCAGGACTCCCCTTCTTTTTCCAAATCGGGAATCGTCGTGCTCTGTTGCCAACTCTCAGGCACTTTCTTTTCTGCAACGACTTGGTTGAAGAAGTTCGTCAGCCACTCTGCAGGATTCCAGCACTGTGACTTCCACAGATCGGCCGCCAAGTCGTCGGGACCCGTTGCTTTACCTGTCTTCATCTTCTTCAAAGCCGCCTCTGTTTCGCTCACAGTTATCTTCGAGACAGGACCGTGGACCGGAGGAGCAGAAGGGATTGTGTGAGAATTCTACTGTCGAGATTTTCTCGAAGTAGTCGTGCCATCGCTTCACAGCCCTCTTGCGGTCCATTACGAGTCGCCCATTCTCGTCATTGATGCCGAAAGAACTTCTCGATATCCTCGGTCTGGCGATGGCGAGCCTTGGCTAGTTTGTAAATATAGCGTTCGCCGTCGCGCGTCTCGAGCTTCTCGCTAACGCCATCGAGATGAACTGCTCTAGCAACAGCCACAGCTTTCTTTGCTGCCTTCTTCGCGCTCTGATAGTTGTTCCAGTTATCGCTTGACTTGTCACCGAGAAACACTTGGTAGAGCCTTTTCTTCCCGTACTTTTTCTCTGACAGTGTCGGTCCACAGCCATGTCTGCTTGTCGATTTTCCGCCGTCCAGGCTTCGTAATGCCAAGCTCGGAGCGAGCAACACGGACTATCGCTTCTGTGGCACGTTTCCATGTTTCGTCGACAGTCGTTACTGGCGGTAGCCGAATGCGACTGAACAGAGCGGATTCCTTTTCTTTCAATCGCCACCACTTGATCCTTGCAGGCCCACACCGTTCGGCTTTCTTGGTCCTTGGAGGGGCAATCTTTAATGTGCAAATCAGTGGTCGATGTTGCGTAGCGACTGTCTCGTACGGCACTGTCTTCGCGTCCGTCACTAGCCCTCGATCACGTTGCCTGACGAGGACGAAATCAATTTGCGTTCTGGTATTACCGCTGTAGAACGTGATGAGGTGTGAGTCACGTTTGCGATAGTTTGTGTTCACGATGGTGAGATTGTGCGAGTTTGCATATTCAAGAATTCGCTCACCATCGGCGTTTCGTGACCCATAACCAAAACCACCATGACAACTGTAACCATCTTTCGCAGATCCAACGTGCCCATAAATACGTTGACGACAGCGTGACGCGGTAACGCGTCCCACCCAAGTCATCCCTTTTTCTTGCGCTTGTGCGACTTATTCCTAAGGTCTTTGTACTCATTCTATAGGTCATACATTAGCATACTTAAAACCACATGGCTCACAGAAAGGCCAAATATTCTTTAGTTTGGCAGAGGTTTTCCAGACCTTACGGATATGTCTGTTCAGTTCATTCCTAGTCTTCTTTTCATTAACGCAACATGTCGATGAGAAGGAATGATAGAG